TTCTGGTCCGGACCGAAGCCCCTGGAAAGAGCGCAGAGGAGATGTAGGAAGCAGAAACAACCAGGCGTGAGGTCCTGTCATTGTCCCCATGTTACGGACGAGGAGACTGAAGATGAGCGAGGCTCCACGAATTCCCAGTTGGGAGGTGGGGGCCAGGAGTCAGACACAAGCTGTCCGAGCCGCCAGGCTGCCTCTGGCCCCTCAGTGCGGTGCTGCTGCGTGTGTGGCCTTGGGGTCAGGACACTTTCTCACAGCAGGTTCCTGTCTTGTCCTTTGGGCCCAAACCCTAGTCTGTGTTGTTACCTGTGGCTTTCTTCACTGGGTTTCAGCTTTTAAAATGAAAAGGACATCCTGCTTTCCTGGTGTTTTTAAGATCAGTGTGTTTTTACTACTGTCAATACAATTTTGACCAGATTTTAGCATATTAGACTGTGTGCAGGGGTAGGGGTGTGTGTATGTGTGTGTGTGTGTGTGCAAATTACAAGCAAAGAATTTTTTTTTTCATCCTCACCTGAGGACATATTTGCCTTTATCTTCAGATAGAGCGGGAGGGAGAGAAAGAGGAAGAGAGAGAGAGAAACATCCATGTGAGAGAGACACATTGACTGGCTGCCACCCACACGACCCCAACCAGGGCTGGGGACAAACTGCAACCAAGGTACATGCTCTTACTGGGAACCAAACCCCGGTCTTTGGTCGGTGGGCTGACACTCTAACCACTGAGCCAAACCGGCCAGGACTACAAGCAAAGAATTTTATCGAGCCGCACGAAGTTGGGGTTCGATTGACCAGCTTGCCCCTGGGCATCAGGCTCCTGCCCCATCTTATCTCTGTCTTATCTAACTTTGCTGGTGACCCAAGCTCCCTAGTCCAGAGTCCAAGGCAGATTCAAGCTGGCCTCCCGCCAGGTCTGGAGGAACCGTCCTCCTGGTAAAGCTGGCTGCCCGGCGCCCCTCTGGTCAAGCGGTCTGAGGCATGCGCTGTGCCACGCTGCCCGATGCCTGCCTAGGGAAGGTGCTTTCTAGTTGGGTTTCAGAGCGTCAGGCCACCTTGCCTCGCCTGTCGGCCCCTCCATCACTTCTGACTCCCCTGAGGCCTTTGTGGCTCCACCCCAGTACCCTGCTCTCTTTCCTGGTGGGCTGTCCTAACAGCGAGCCCTATGGAAGCTTCCAGAAGTGGGAGCTGAGTTGTCTGATGTTCGTTAACTGGCTCTTGAAGCTCAGGTTTTCCTCACGGTTCTGATCTGGTTTCTAAGCTCTCGGGGCTGTGGCCTCAGTGGCAGACAGTGTGGACCCGTGGCCGCTCTCCCACCATCAGCAGAGGACACCCATCCCCCGTTGGCCCAGCTCCTGGGCCCTGCCAGGGAAACCCTCTACCTCTGACCTCCTGGCACTGGTGACGTTTACAGGTGCCCTCGCCAGTTGTCCGGAGAGACAGGTTCTCCTGTTGCTTCAAGTTTACGTTAACATGTTACACACACCCTCAGAAGCACAGAAGGTAGAAAAGAGTCACTTTATGAGTGTCACTTGGTCGCAGTGATGAGAAGCCGCCCTTGCAGAGGAGTTGGAGAGTTCAGTGACCGAATGCTATGCCAATCCGAACTGTAATCCGTCCAAGGCTGAGGCCTTTGTTCCTGCAGTCTAGCCCCCCATCTGCACCCACAGCCCAGCCCCCCCCTTGTATTAAGAACGTAGACCTGTCATGAGGTGCAGAGCAGGGCAGCGGACAGCACTGACCCAGGACGCCAAGGACCAGTGTGGCCCTAGGCACTCTCCCTGCAGAAAAAAGGGATGGGCTTCCGGAACCCCAGGCCTCCCTGATTCCACAGCCTGGGGGCCCAGTGGTACCGGTTGCTCCTCCCTCAGAGGGTGCAGGCCCTCCCCGGGGAGCCCCAGGCCCAGCTCACAGGTGTAGGCTGAATGCTGACCCTAGGCATGTGGTGCGGCCCAGTGAGTCACCTGATGGCAAAATAGTCACCTGGTGTTTCCTTCCTCCACCCCTCCCCTCCCACCTGGCTTAGGAATTGCCCCAAACCCCAGCCACTGGGCACTTCCCCACCTGCCCCCGGAGAGCCTTGCAGCTCAGGGAAGGGATACCTGTGGGAATGGACAATGTAGGGTCCGCCTTGGCCTACTGACCCCCACTCAGACTGATCATTTACCACCCGGTGATGCCTCAGGGTCCCATCCATCATCAGAAGAAGCAAAGCTTACCACTAGCTAGCACTTGGGGGTGCTTTGACATCCTTGCATGAGGGGTGAGTAGAAATAGCAAGTATAGTCAGCCCGTTATTAGCCATACACAGCACACAGGTGCAGCCAGGCCCAGGAGTCCCAGGCCAGGCTAGAGAACAGCTCCGTCTACACTGCAGGTGACATCTGACTTTTAGGTGACTCGGCACTTCTACCTACCTTAGCTTGGAAAATGAAGGCCTGGACGGACTTCCGCCTAGACGGACTCCCCAGCATTAGCCAGGCTCTGCATTTCTCCTGTCCAGCAGCCAGAGTGAGGTCAGGACATACGTTCAAAAGCCTCTTTTACTGCTAAGCCCCTGGACACCTGCTGACACCCCTCACGGAAGGTACGGCCACGTCCCTGAGGCCAAGCCAGTGCTTCCACAGAACACAGAGCCGTGCACTTCAGTGCCCACTGACCGCAGGCGTCAAGAAGGAATGGATTCTCGGAGGCAGTGGACAAACCCTGGCCAGAGGTCGGAAGGCAAGGGACAGTAGTGCTTTGCCACCATCATTGCAATTTTTAGGAAAAAGCACAGTGTTCTTCCAGGCCTCAGTGTCCCATCTGTCAAGTGAGAGGATTGGCCGAGATAACCAATCTCTGCGAGTCCGTTAGGAGACCACAGTGTCATTTCAGTCCCCACAGCAAAGATCAAAGTTTGTGCCAGATACCCAGGGTCAGCCCTTGTGCTGCTTTGGGCCTCAAGGTTACCATTTGTCCCGTTAGCCTGGAACAGGCCTGGTTCATGCCCATCACTCCTCCACAGTCATTCCTCCGTCACTCTCAAATGTGGCCCAGTTTGGATGATGTCTTACATGGCCCCCCTACTGATGTAATGTGGTGAAGTGAGGTTTCCCTACCATACCCACATTGGCCCTGCTATGGGAGGGATTTGACTGCTCAGAGAATCGCCTTTGCTGAGTCGTGACCTTCCACTGACAAAATCACTGCGTTTGTAGGAGGGGTGTCATTTGAAGACACAGGTGATCTCATACAGTCACTGCCCCTGTAGCACGTGAAAACGTTCTTTGCAAGCAACTCTTTGCTTCCTGCAAGGAACTGAGGTATTTCTTCATCTCTGGCTTATAAGGACTCTGTGATGGAGCACATTCCTCCTTTCTCCTTGGCCGCTGGGAAGCTCAGATATAACAGTTGGGCCCTTATGATTGGCTTACCAGTGTTCTTTCCATCCCTCCGATCCTGATTCCTGCCTTATTTACATTTTCCTCGTTCTGATTTGTTATTCTTCTCTAAAGTTATACGTATTTGTAGTTTGCCATCCTTTTATAAATATTAATAAAATTTTGCTGTCGTTATTTTGAATTATTTGTAGAACCAAGACGGGAAGGAAACACAAAAGGAGTGAATTTATAGTAATTGTTAGCTAATAGAGCGAACCACCTGCTCCTCCATGGAATGTCACTAGGGGTGAGGTCCTGCCATCTGTGAGACAGTATTGGAGTCGCAGACTTGTGGACTCTCTGAGCACCCTGTGAAAGTACAAAGAGTGAACTCAAGTCTGCATCAGAAGATAGCTGGCGAGAAGCAGGGTAAGGGCGTGAAGGGCGTCTGAGGCCAGGATGCCGAGGGCAGAGCATGCTTACAGGAGAAGGAGGAAGGCAGGGACACACCGGTCACTCACCCAGCCCTCACCCAGGGGACTGGCGCCTGCAGGTAGCTGGGGAGTGAACTCCAGCCATGGGGGACCTGGGTTCAGGCGCCAGCCCTGCCTCTTAGAACATGCCGTCTTAGCAGGCCGCCTTCCCTCTGTGGTCCTCAGTTTTCTCCACTGGAAGGAAAGGTGACTGGTTGAGATGGAGTCCACAGTGACTTCCAGCTTTGAAATGCTGACCGTGCTGCTGGGGAGACGAGACCTGAGATGCACTTGGAGCCCAAGAAGCCTAGACAGCCTGGCTTCTGGCTGGCCCTGGGAGGGTGCACACACTTGGGGCTCCACCCACAACGACTTTGCCCCGCACCTTGGCAAGGACCCCCATTCTGAGCCACTTCCAGGGTATCTCTGGGGCACTTTCCTTAAAGGCTGCAATGCTGGAGGAACATGCCAGAATGATCCTCCCAGCTACTGCTTGGCAGCTCAGGTGGCCATGGCCGTGTTAGACTGTGAGCTCCCACAGGCTAGGGCTTTAGCTTCACCGTGAAACACGGGCTGCAGAGGTGAGTAGGCAAAGGAGCAAAACCACGCGTGATGCCCCTCCTGGACTCCTTCAGAATCCTGGGCCAGAGAGAGAGTAGTACCTGAGCGTGATCTACCCCTTGGAGAGCTCGTCCCTGAGCACCCCGCCAGCACTTCCCCCCGCACCAACCAGCCTTTGTCCAGTGGCATCCGCGTCCACTATCAGGTTGGACCCCACTGCATCTGGGGCACAGCTGAGGCAGGAATTGTTGTCATCCATTTTCTAGGTTAGGCAGCTGTCGCTTAGGGAGCTAAATCCACTCGGGGGGGCTCACAGAGCAGACTGGAGCCCAGGCCTCTTGACCCTGACTGGTCCTGACACCCCACACAGCCAGAGTCCCCCGAACCGCAGCTGGTATCTGTCCCCAGCAGCACCGTGAATGTGGGTGAGGGGTGGAAGGGCAGTGCCCCGGTGTGCAGAGCTGGGGCCGTGGGTTCTGCTGAATCTCCCTGGTTAGACGTGGGGGGGTCTCACTGGGCCTCTCAGAGTCGGAGGTGCCCAGGTTGTGGACCGGTCGCAGTAACTCTCTCCTCTTGTGTGTATTTCCGTGTGTGTGTCTTTGCCATGTAGAAGAGCGTGAATTCCCCTCTGCGGCTATCGATCTCCAACACGGGACTCGAGGGAAGAGGCTGGACGAGCCGCCTGCGGCCCCCAGCGTGGCTTCTCTCTGCCGGGACCAGGGATGCCTGGGCCATGCACACAGATGTCTCCAGCCTCCAACAGTTCGCATAGCACACAGGGGACTCGTGGGGGGCCACTTGCCACTGCCAACTGAAACAATACAATGGCAGCACTGACGTCCTTCATGACGTTCCCACGGCAGACATTCAGGCAGAAAGTGCCGGCGCATTTTCTGTCTGCAAAGTAGAGGGCCATGCCTCACCGACGTGAATAGTTTCAGCCCCAATGACTTGCTCTGAGTCCACTCACAGCCAGTGACACTTGCAAAAAATTTCCACAGCCCTCTTGGGTTTGGCTTCCTCCGCTCTTGACCCATGTGGCCAAAACCAGACGCCTCCTTGGGACACGTGGATTATCCATAAATGCAGCCTGCCCTGACCCTCCCTGAATAGCATCTGAAGTCTCCGTGGAGGTCATGGATCCTGAACAAAGTGTCAAGGGCACCAAGAAGGCTGAGGGAAGTCCCCGGAAGCGGCTGACCAAAGGAGAGGCTGTCCAGACCAGTGCCCCGGCCAGTGCCCCGTACCCAGGCGGCAGTACGGCTCCCGCCCCCGAAGGCCCCCTCCAAGAGCTCCTAGCCCCGCAGCCCTTCCCGGGCCCCTCGTCGGTTCTTAGGGAAGGCTCTCAGGAGAAACCGGGCCAGCAGCAGAAGCCCCCCAAGAGGTCCTCCATCGAAGCCTCTGTCCACATCACACAGCTCCCGCAGCTCCCTCTGACACCAGCATTCATGTCGCCTGGCAAACCTGAGCACCTCCTGGAGGGGTCCAAGTGGCAGCTGGTCGACCCCATGAGACCTGGACCCTCAGGCTCCTTCATAACCCCCGGGCTCCCTCCTCAGAGCCAGCTCCTCCCTTCCCATGCTTCCATCATCCCTCCGGAAGACCTGCCTGGCATCCCCAAGGTCTTTGTGCCCCGTCCCTCCCAGGTTCCCCTGAAGCCCGCGGAGGAGGCGCACAAGAAGGAGAGGAAGCCCCAGAAACCGGGCAAGTACATCTGCCAGTACTGCAGCCGGCCCTGCGCCAAGCCCAGCGTGCTCCAGAAACACATCCGCTCGCACACGGGCGAGAGGCCCTACCCCTGCGGCCCCTGCGGCTTCTCCTTCAAGACCAAGAGCAACCTCTACAAGCACAGGAAGTCCCACGCCCACCGCATCAAAGCCGGCCTGGCCTCGGGAGTGAGCAGCGAGATGTACCCCCCGGGGCTGGAGATGGAGCGGATCCCGGGGGAAGAGTTTGAGGAGCCCACCGAGGGCGAAAGCACTGACTCCGAAGACGAGACGAGCACCACGGCCGCTCACCCCGCAGAGCTCTCCCCCAGGCCCAAGCACCCCCTCCTGTCCAGCAGTTTGTACAGCTCTGGGAGCCAGGGTTCCAGCCATGAGCGCTGTTCCCTGTCCCAGTCCAGCTCAGTCCAGTCGCTCGAGGACCCCACTCCATTCGCGGAACCCTCATCCGAACACCCCCTGAGCCATAAACCTGAAGACACCCACACCATAAAGCAGAAGCTGGCTCTCCGCCTGAGCGAGAGGAAGAAGGTGATCGACGAGCAGGCGTTTCTGAGCCCGGGCAGCAAAGGCAGTACTGAGTCTGGGTACTTCTCCCGCTCCGAGAGCGCCGAGCAGCAGGTCAGCCCCCCGAACACCAACGCCAGGTCCTACGCGGAGATCATCTTCGGCAAGTGCGGGCGGATCGGCCAGCGGACCGCCATGCTGACGACCACCTCCACCCAGCCCCTCCTGCCCCTGTCCACCGAAGACAAGCCCAGCCTGGTGCCGCTGTCTGTGCCCCGGACGCAGGTCATCGAGCACATCACCAAGCTCATCACCATCAACGAGGCCGTGGTGGACACCAGCGAGATAGACAGCGTGAAGCCCAGGAGGAGCTCGCTGTCCCGGCGCAGCAGCATGGAGTCGCCCAAGTCCAGCCTGTACCGGGAGCCCCCATCGTCCCACAGCGAGAAGACGAAGCCTGAACAATCACTGCTGAGCCTCCAGCACCCGCCCAGCACCACCCCCCCTGTGCCTCTGCTGAGAAGCCACTCAATGCCTTCTGCCACCTGCACCCTCAGTACCCCCCACCACACCTTCCGCGGTAGCTACTCCTTCGACGACCACGTCACCGACTCGGAAGGCCTGAGCCGCAGCAGTCAAGTGTTTACCTCCCACCCCCGGATGCTCAAGCGCCAGCCGGCCATCGAACTACCTTTGGGAGGGGAGTACAGTTCCGAGGAGGCAGGGCCCAGTAGCAAGGACACAGCCCCCAAACCTGCAGACGAGCCGGAACCCAAGGAAAGCGAACTCACCAAAAAGACCAAGAAGGGCTTGAAAACGAAAGGGGTGATCTATGAATGTAACATATGTGGTGCTCGGTACAAGAAAAGGGACAACTACGAAGCCCATAAGAAATACTACTGCTCAGAGCTTCAGATAGCAAAGCCCGTCTCTGCAGGTGCTCACGTGTCTCTGGAAGCCGAGAAGAGCCAGGCCGAGCACGAGCCCTGGTCCCAGATGATGCATTATAAGCTGGGGACCACCCTGGAGCTCACTCCGCTGAGGAAGAGGAGGAAAGAGAAGAGCCTTGGCGATGAGGAGGAGCCACCTGCCTTTGAGGCGACAAAAAGTCAGTACGGCAGCCCCAGGCCTTTCGATGCTGCTCGGAACCTTCCCCCGGAGTCCACCAAGTCACCAGCAGAACCAAGTAAGTCAGTGCCCTCCCTGGAGGGACCCTCAGGCTTCCAGCCAAGGACTCCCAAGCCAGGGTCTGCTTCGGAATCAGGCAAGGAGCGGAGGGCAACATCCAAAGAAATTTCTGTCATCCAGCACACCAGCTCCTTTGAGAAGTCAGACTCTCTGGAGCAGCCCAGTGGCTTGGAAGGGGAGGACAAGCCTCCGGCCCCAGCCCCGTTCTCGTCGCCCCCACCCGCCCCACATGGACACGGACGATCGGCTCACTCCCTGCAGCCCAAGTTGGTCCGCCAGCCCAACATCCAGGTTCCTGAGATCCTGGTGACGGAGGAGCCCGACCGGCAGGACACGGAGCCGGAGCCGCCCCCGAAGGAGCCCGAGAAGACGGAGGAGTTCCAGTGGCCCCAGCGCAGCCAGACTCTTGCCCAGCTCCCGGCTGAGAAGCTGCCACCCAAGAAGAAGAGACTGCGCCTGGCACAGATGGCCCAGTCCTCGGGGGAGTCCAGCTTCGAGTCTTCTGTGCCTCTGTCCCGCAGTCCAAGCCAGGAAAGCAGTGTCTCTGTGAGCGGGTCTAGCCGCTCCACCTCCTTTGAGAGGGACGACCACGGAAAAGCCGAGGCCCCCAGGCCCTCGTCGGACACGCGCTCCAAACCCCTGGGCACGCACATGCTGACTGTCCCCAGCCACCACCCACACACCCGAGAGATGCGGAGGTCGGCCTCCGAGCAGAGTCCCAATGTTTCCCATTCTGCCCACATGACTGAGAGACGCAGCAAATCATTCGACTACGGCAGCTTGTCCTTAACAGGTCCTTCCGCGCCAGCCCCAGCAGCCCCAGCGGCTCCTCCAGAGAGGAGGAAGTGCTTTTTGGTGAGACAGGCCTCTCTGAGCAGGTTTCCAGAAACAGAGCTGGAGGCCGCCCCCGTGGGAAGACAGGAGAGCGAGGAGCCAAAGCCCTCATCCAGTAAAACTTCGGCCAAAAGCTCACTGCCCCAGATTTCCTCAGCGGCCACCTCACACACTGGGCACCCGGGGGGCAAGAGCCAGGTGCAGGACAGACCCCCGCTGGGCTCCACTCCGCCCTACACAGAAGCACTGCAGGTGTTCCACCCCCCCATTGCCCCGCTCCCCCTGCACGAGAAACCATGCCTGCCCCCGCCCGTCTCCCTTTTCTCCTTCCAGCACCTCTTGCAGCATGAGCCAGGACAGTCCTCAGAATTCTTCTCCACCCAGTCCATGTCCAGCCTCCTCTCCTCACCATACTCCACGCCCCCGATCCCTCCCTCCTTATTTCAAGCCCCACCATTTCCTCTCCAACCTACTGTGTTGCACCCAGGCCAACTCCACCTCCCCCACCTCATGCCTCACCCCGCCAACATCCCCTTCCGGCAGCCCCCGTCCTTTCTCCCCGTGCCATACCCGTCCTCCTCAGCACTGTCCTCTGGGTTCTTCCTGCCTCTGCAGTCCCCGTTTGCCCTTCAGCTCCCTGGCGATGGGGAAAGCCATCTGCCGCCTATCAAAACCAGCCTGGCCCCACTGGCAACAGGAACAGCCGGCCTCTCCCCCAGCACAGAGTACAGCAGTGACCTCCAGCTGCCCCCCATGCCTCCCCCATCCAGCTCCTCGGTGCCCATTTCAGCCCCTCCATTGGCCCTGCCCGCCTGTCCAGATACCATGGTGTCCCTGGTTGTACCCGTCCGCATTCAGACCAACATGCCGTCCTACGGGAGCGCCATGTACACCACCCTCTCCCAGATCCTGGTCACCCAGTCCCAAGGCAGCTCAGCAACTGTAGCTCTCCCCAAGTTTGAGGAGCCCTCGTGCAAAGGGACGACAGTGTGCGGGGCAGATGTGTACGAGGTCGGGCCCGGGCCAGCTGGGATAAGTGAAGAGCAGAGCAGAGGTTTCCAGACTCCGTACCTGAGAGTGCCGGTGACGTTACCTGAAAGGAAAGGCCCTTCCCTGCCACTGGAGAGTGTCCTGAGCCTGGAGGGGGGTTCGTCGGCAGTAGGGGGAAGCAAACGTGTCCTTTCACCGGCTGGCAGCCTTGAACTTACCATGGAAACACAGCAGCAAAAACGGGTGAAGGAAGAGGAGGCTTCCAAGGCAGATGAAAAACTAGAACTGGTAAAACCATGCAGTGTGGTGCTTACCAGCACTGAGGATGGCCAGAGGCCAGAGACATCCCCCTTGGGCAGCCAGGGCCAGGGCAGGAGGGAGCTAGAATTGCTGTCCAGCCTGCCCACAGATCCATCTGACCCA